CTGGCCTTGTGGCCGGTGCTGAGGGCTGCAGCCGGGCAGTTGCCCGCCTTACCGAGCATCACGAATAAGACCTTCATCGAGGGCTGCGTGTGTGTGCACAACGACCTCCGCACCAAAGTCCAGCCAGCCGCCAGCAACATGCGGTACATGGTAGGGACAGGCCTGTGGGTGCTCGGGTGGCTCCAAAGCCCCGCCGGGGGGGATGGGACAGCGGGCCAGGGTCTCTTGGTGATCGCTGGGCGAGGCGACCGGGATGGCATCACTGCTTTGTGTTCAGGTATCATCACGTTTATTTGATAGGAAATATTGTAGTGAGTTGAGTCAGTTGTAGGCAGGTGAGACTAGAAACAACGGGCATGCAGTATGAGGATGCGGTGACACAGGGCAGCTGAAGATGTTCACATTTCACCCCACGGAATGTCTCCTTAGGAAGAAGCAATGGTCCAGCAGCAGGACTGACCTGGAAGAGTTAGGCTTTCCATCAGAAGCAAGGGTATGAAATGTAATACTGGGGCTGAAGAGGATTTCTGGTGGCAAGGAAGAATCATTGCTTGCCATAACCAAAACAAATTGCACTTGAAAATTTTGCTGGAAAGGGTTAAAAAAAACTGAAGAAGATGCTGAAAAAACGGATGTTTGATGTTTAGTCCACTTCGTGCCCCAAAAGGAAAATGTGAGCAATGAGCAGTTAAAGGATGAGTACCCTCAGGAAGGCTTGGGAACACGTAGGTACTCGGGTACTGATGGCAAAGAATGCTGTTCGCTTGGGTGGATTTGAAGCCAGAATGGCAGATAAAAGTGGAGAAGTGAAGAAGCTTGTGAAAGACACTGCACCTAGTTTTAGTACTCAGGAGTAGGAAAACCAGGAAAAATTATGAATAAAGGTATGCATGTAGAAATATGGTTAGAAAAAAATAAAGGCCCTAGAGAGAAAATGGTATCAGCAGCTGTGACGGGTGCACTCGACCCCTTAACCCAACTAGCAGTGGTTTGGTGCAGGCTCCAAAGGAGGTAAAGGCCTGAGCCGTAAATGAGCCAAGAACAACTCTAGTTTCAATCTGTTCTCTGAAAAGGATCCACAAAGGAGCAGAGCGACACAGTGAGCATCGATGCATATGAGCTTGGAACACCGATCGTGTGATTAACACATGAATAGTGAGTGGCTTTTCCAAGACTCATTTATCAAGGAACAAAGAAAGTTGTGGGTATAAGGAGTCTCGTGCATACCTTTCCCATTGTGTGTAACTTGACTACAAGCCAACCACTTTATTCCATAAATATGACAGCCTAAGTGAGCCTTCTCTGAGCTCTCCCTGCTAAGAAGTTGGCATGGTGGTGATCTCCCCTTGAGCTGGGACACCTCTCAAGGTTGTTTCTCGAGGCAGAGAGACCTTCTACTAACGGCAGATCTTTGATAAGCGACCAATGTCGCACATAACCTTGTAGTATGGTAACTTTGATTTGTGCCTTGGTAGTTTTGAATCATTGTTCAAATGATTGTGCCGTACTGTAATAGAGTGAACCTCGCCATCGAATTTTGTTAAGTCGCACTTCTACAACATCATATTAAAATGACTTTTGCTAATATCTTTAACAGTGGTTCTTTAAGCGATCTAAATCACCCATTCACGACAGCAGCCAGTGGAGTTACTGTAAGATCCATATAGAGACTAAGAGTGAACTGAAATGTGTGAACACCAATAAACCTAGGCCACAAAACACATGATCTTTTACATAAGACATAAAACTAGGTACTTTAATGATAGAAGAAACTTGCTGAAAAACAATCATGACTGGAAGACAAATACCAAAGATCGTTCATGTTCAGGAATCAGAAGTTGTGTTAACAGTGACAGACTGTAAAGAAGTAAGAGGTAGCAGAATGCGTTACTGACCAAACATTGGCATGTTTACCTCATGAAGCTGTCTTTGTAAAATGCTCCGATGTGTATTTAAAGCTTTACTGTAGGAGGAGTAAGTATTTGTTTCTGGAGGCTCTCCTAAAAATACTTAAAGTATTTATACATCTGAATCTACAGTAGCTGTGCATTTTTACTTTGAATTAATTTTTATGTACCAAATAGAAATCTTTAATGACCTGTTCAACAAAAAAAAAAAACAAAACAAAAATTTCATGTTTAATTCATATGACAATAATTTCTTATCTGAAGATAAAAGTGCATTTCAAACATCTTTTCAGTTGCTAGCAAGTGCTCTTACAAAGTCAGGTTTTAACAGTGAAGGGGAAAAAACTCGTTTAATGAAATTAGTTCAAATTTCTGTGTTGCAACAGGAAAAGTCAATGAAAATAAAACACGGGTACTTGCCTAAATAAGGGAAAGTATTTCTTTAGGAAACTCCAGCATATGATACCGATCTGTACTTTATTGCCTAACTGGTTTTATCTGATTGTTTAAGATGTGGTTGTAACTTAACATTGCACAACTATTTCACCTTTCATGTTTTGCAGACTTGGGATGCAGCTTTGGCAAGGACTGCGAGGGCATGGGCAAATAAATGCATTTTTGAACATAACATATACTTAAATAAGAAAGATCAGTGCCATCCTAATTTCACATCTATTGGAGAGAATATTTGGGTTGGGAGTCATCAAGCATTCAATGTTGCTGATGCCATTAAATCGTGGTATGATGAGGTCAGATTCTATACTTTCGCAGTGCAGAAATGTACTAAGGTTTGCGGTCATTACACTCAGGTAAGAGTTATCTTCGGTAAAATGTCCTGTATAGTGCCCACCATATGAATCAGTAGGGACTGTAAATAATACAGAGTTGTATATATGGTTTGTAGTGACTGACAGCTTACTGTCTTTTGTAATCTCAAGCAATGGCTGTACTGCCGGTTACCCCTGCACTGGTTCACCTCTTTGTCGTGTATAATCTTGTATAATAATAATCCCTTCTTCTTGTCCACAATATTGACCTCACTGAAAGCCTCACTCCTTATTTCATTGTATCAGTACTACATGAACTTTATAAAATAATCATTTCAAGCTCTAGCTGCAAAGCCACACAGGTCTAAATTCTGTAAGTTTGGAGATGCTGTTCAAAATAATCACAGTCATTGCAGAATGTCTGTGGGAGCTCCTTAGTAGGAATTTTAACAGGAGGAGAAAACCCAGCCAAAGTAAATTGTATTCTTTACAAATCTTGTAAAAAAGGAAGGGGAAAAAAAAAGAGCATCAACAGCAAAAGAGGCAATTTATGATATATTTCTGATTTCTCAGTGGTAATTCTGACAAACATAATTCTGCTGAGAAAGTAAAGCGTTTCTTTGAACACTTACTATTTTAAATGGGTTTATTCTTTCCCATGTTTAAAAAATAAGCTTTGCGGTAGAATTAGTTTAGTCTATGACCAAACACATAATATTTCACTTATCTAAAACAGAGGATAATTTTAATGTCAGGTCAGATCTTACCTAGTAAAAGTGACTCTCTAATTTCTTATCTCAGTGTTGAAAGATGCTTAGACTGCTCTCTGTGCACATCACAGATGAAAATACTGTGCAGTATACCTACAGTTAAACTATTACCAGACACAACGGTAGCTGTGAGGTTCTTTTTGAGTGGACTTTGGATTGTGAAATTAAAATACTTCAAGTTACCAGAATCATTTACAAAGCATTTTCTGTTTGGGACTTTTTGCACCTCTTTTTATGTCTTTTCTCACTTATTTCTCCTCAAGTGTTAATTCTTGTTTCCTGCCACTGGTTCTGCCTCTAACAAACTGAAAAGCAAGACTGGAGGATTTAAGTTTTGCTGTTTATTGGGCAATAAATCTTTCGAAGATTAGAACTAGACGGTATCTCAGGAAAGTATTTTTCATTTTTTCTCTGGCATAATAAATTATAAGAAGTTACATAACAAGGTAGTTCCTAGTATCTTAAAATTTGCTGTTCAACCTTGTCTACATAGAATTCTGGAGGTTTTTGCACATTTCTCTTGGAGTGATGTTCACTTCTAAGCTTTCTTTCCCCCATTAAGATTGCTTGCTTCTTTCTTGTTACACATAGTTAAGTTGTATCAAAATGTTCATGCATTTCAGGCAATATTACAGGCAGGATTACAAAGGAAACTAGTCGCTGGGAAAAATAAGCAGAGTACATGAGCTAAACACCAATGAACATGTAAAAGGACGTATTTCTTCAAAGTTGATAAGCAAAGACCCTGCATGATCAGGAGCCATCATGGTCTTGAAGGCTCAGACACAAAATTGAAAAGGGATAAAATTTACAAATCATCAATGGATAGGCTGTGGAGAGCTGCTAGGAGAACCATGGCACAGAAATCTCAAAATGGTGGAAATCTCAAAAAAACACATGAAACTGTTACATAAAGCCCCCTGATTTGGGTAACACCACATTAAACATTAAGATCCTTTTCTAAAAAAGGTTATGTCTTCTGAACGTAACCGCTTCTTGCAGTTATAGTTGAAGAGATGGAGCTTTTGGGGACATTCAAATAAGTTTGTCAGTCTGAGGCCTGTACTCTTTGTATTGGGGAGATACCAAGAGTAATCCACTATGTCTAAGTTTTTCAGATGCAGAATGTATGATCATCCAGATGTTCTAGGTATACAGCTAAACATTTTTACCTGAATTCAGTAGAGTTTGTTTAGTCATATGCAGAAAGTATAGGAGGAATCTCCAAGAAAAAGCAGAGGATGCTCAAACTATGGTAGTAAACCATCTTCTCTTAAGTAGATAACACTGGTTAGTCTGAACATGTGCAGTGCTTTCAGACTTAAGTTTACAGTAGTAATCAGCCAGACCACTTCTAGCACACAGGAGAAGCCCTTCTTGCAGTCCTGAGTTATGAATGTTGAAATTCATTAAAGGAGCTGTTGGGTAGTTGCCACTAATTTCCATTTTGTTCCTTGGAATTTACCCCTGGATCATAAAGTCAGTGACTTTTACTGAAATTGTTCTGTAGAAGATTCTGGAAACTTGCAACATAGATCACTTCATCTTGAGGGGTGAATATTTAGAAGTTCATCTTAAAAAGCTCGCTTACCAGCAATTATTTTAAATGAATAAATGGATAAGATGTTGCAAAATGAAAATAATATGTAGGATCCCTGAAAATAACAGAAACTTTGTACATGTTAGACTAGGTAACCATTGAGTATAGTTTTTAATTTATTTTAAAACCGGGTTTTTTTAGGTTGTTTGGGACTATTCATATAAAATTGGCTGTGCTGTTACTCTTTGTAAGGAAGTTGCAGGAATACGAAATGCAGCAAATTTTGTTTGCAACTATTCACCCGGGTAAGTTGCTGGTTTAAATGTTTAAAAAATGAAAGGAATTGTGATGACATTTAGCTGAAAGTAAATTGGGTTCTTTATTTGTCGGTAGTCTTGTAAATGCAATCAGAGAAAATGATGGTTGTCTAATTGAGCTACCAAGAGAGCCATGAGCATTAGAATGTCTACTTGCTTAGTTTTTTAATCTGTTAAATTTACTGATAAATCTCATTCTGTGCCAATCTTAAGCAAACAAATCCCAAACTTAGTTCATGCTCCACTTCATTGATTTATTTTCATACGAAACAGAAGAAATGAGAAAGTTGCTGCAGGCAACTGCTATCAGAGCTGGAATTATCTCTTGCAGTTTTGTAAATTTTTTTAATGCATGTTAGCTTTTTACACTGTATTTCTTTTCTTTTTTAAATCTTTAGAAATTACAGAAATAATAGCACAGTTGTTAGAAAAGTTGCTTCTCCTTTCTGTATAACTGAGTAAAATAAAATTACGTTATCATTTCTTGCCCATTTAATAGCTGTGATTATACCAAATGTTCTTTAAGCATTAGAAAAGTAAATGATCAATGCAAGAAAAAGCTAACTGCAACATGTAATTTTACATTTAAATTGATATTCTGAAAAAATATAGACCTCAGGCAGTGCTCTTCCTAAAGCAGGAGGAGTTTGAAAACATAGAGGCAGATAGTTTTAAAATAATATATTTTGTCTCATAATAATGCACAGTCTGTAATCAAGCACATGCATATGCAATCTGTTTGTCCTTTTTAAAACACACATAGCTTGTGAGCTTGCATGACAACTGTTTTTAATTTTTCTTCTAGCAAACCTAGGCCACTATTGGGGAGTTCAATTAGCCTGAACTAAAAATTTCATTGAGCCCTGTCCATCTCCCTCCCTGTACCCCGAAACTGGACTTGTACTTTAATTGTTATTTTGAAACTTGCTAGGTTAAGGAACTTTGTTGTTTTCTTTGTAAAATGTGAACTAAAATATTTCCAGTTGTCAATTCAGAATAGTGACTAATTGTATCAACAGTGGTCTGTAAATCCTTGTCACTTGAGTCTTTTCTAATCTGTAACAACATACCATGTTGGTTTGCTGTGCTGTTCTGCACATCCTGGAGAACTAGTAGCTAAGCAGAATAGCTGTCTAAGATGAGGTCTAACATGCTATTGTTCTTCTATCCACTGCTTGATACCAAGAACGCTGATCTCTATGTCCCACAGAAACAAGTAGAGTTAGAGCAGACAGACCATCTTCTAATAGCCTTTTCCCTTCCTAAACTGTCTGGAAAAATAGGTAAACCTCAACCTTGCCACCAGTCGTCACCACACTCTAAATACTGGAACAGCCTTTTCCAACTTGACCTTCATGACTCCTTCTTGAGGTTTGGACCCTTAGTGCTCACTTACCCTGCTAGATAGCAGTTTCTTTGCAGAGTTCAAGATGCACCAGTTTAAGGACCACCTTGCTAAAATTACTTTATTCAGTGTAGCAGTTTTACAGTGTAGTCCTTCTATAGACCTTTTCTGAAGGTCTGCTGCTGGGACCCTGCATGTCTGAGATGCCCACTTTCCTTCCCCCTGTTTAAAGAGAAGCATACACTACTTTGGAATGTGCCCTGTCCTGTCATCATTCTCATACCCGAAGTTAGCTGCCACATCCTTGCTACCAGACTCTGTTTGTCATGCTGTTTTTCTCATCTCTTCTACCTACCTTCCTCTTGGTAGGTGAATCTTCATCTATTATGTCCAAGAAGCCTTTGGCTCTAAGAAGAGCCTCAAGATGGTCCTTAGTATTCTGTTTGAAGGGTAGCAGAATCTTAGAAATGCCCTCGGAAGGGTCTGGTAAGATATCACATAGCTTACTGGACATTATTCTCAACCATCCTAGAGAGCTTTCCCAATTAGTCGTTTGCTTTTACCTAGTTGTTTTCATTTACCTAGTGTCTTTTTCTATTTTAGCTCTTCAGGCTCTGCACCATAGCCAGAAAGTCCAAACTAGAAAAACTGAACGCTCTCTCACATCTCAGTCTCATTTCTGATAATCGCAGCTAAAGGCAAGAAGTGTGAACAACCTGGTGAATTCTGAAGGGAAGACTAGCTAGATACTGTGGTGATTTATCACTTTAGAAGATACTGGATCAGTTGTAGCTATCAAATTACTAAAAGTGTTGCATGCATTATGTGAATAGAGGGTGCTGTAGCTAGATACTGTGGTGATTTATCACTTTAGAAGATACTGGATCAGTTGTAGCTATCAAATTACTAAGTGTTGCATGCATTATGTGAATACAGGGTGCTGTGACATTTACATGATGTCAGAAAACTCCTGACATCTGACAGTTTCTGGAGTCTTCACAGCACTGCTGGGTGAAGGCCAGCTATCAGTCTGAACTGGGTTTAGTGGATCCAGTGAAACACTGGTGTCTCAGGTTGGATGCTAGAATTGTTTTTTAGGTACCAGGTAGAGTTTGCACTCACCAGCCCCATGGAGACATACCAGAGGACTTCCGTTTCAGAGTTCCAGCTTGTTCCAAAACTAATCAATAGTCACGTATTCATGATACTCAAGTCATTTTGAAATCACATAGTTTCCACTATGAAGGAAGTCTGTTAAGACACTTAAAAATGCCTTCTTAGACACTAGCATGTGGCAGCTCTGCTTCCTATTCCAAACACTTTTCTCATTTTTTTCTTTTCGTGTTTAAAGTTTGTTCATTTCTTTTGTTTTTCACAGGAGGAGACGGTGATTAATCGTACATTGACTTCTAGGGAAACTAGTTTAATGTGTGCAAATCGGATATCCCAGTTGAAAGTCTTCATCTTCATGCTCAATTTTCTCTTACACTTTTGGAAATTGTATATCAAAATTACCAGGATGACTATATTACAAGGTGGTTAGGAATACCAAATACCATCACAGATAGATGGACTGTAGATGTCATTGAGAAGATTTATTCAGTTCAATTCAGACTGTTGCTCTTATTTGTGCTTCTGTTTTACTGCTCTTTAGGAACCTTTATCTTAAGTCTACTATAGCAGAAGGGGAAACCTCTCCTGGTTTTGGAGCTGTAAGTTTCCACTTATTTTAGAGCAAAGGACTTTATAACTGCTTTCTGTTGTGAGTTGATGGTGACACATTCAGATCTTACAGAATTAGAACAGCTGTATTTACAGTTTCAGATTAGGATTTGTAGTGGTTGAAGTTATCCCAACACTGTTAAAAATAATAAGATGCTTTTAAACAGCAAGATACTTTCTTTCACATTCCTATCAGTCTGTCTTACAGGTAGTACCTGTATTTTGTGAGTTTTAAGTGCTGTCAATCCAAATGCTGTCACTTCACCTTTTCACATCAACAGAGGATTCATTGAGGTCCTGGATATTGGCGGGGATAGGATATCCCTATTTTCCTCTTCAGCAGATCATGGCATCCTCAGAACAAGAGATGTGCTGCGGCTTTCAACAGATGTGGAAAAACTACCTCCTTCTCCCAGCTTCACTCAATGCCTCTCAGTTCTTCCGTTGTAAGAAAAAATTATAATCCATGATACTTCTAAGCTTTTGGGAATACAAATAACATCTCACTACCTTTTTGTTACTGTACCTTTCCATGAATATGACCTTCCAGGTCTCCACCACCTCTTGAGAAAAATAAGTGACATCCAGTCCCTGATAGGTGGCTGTATCTGCCATTTTTAGGACTCAATTTCTCCTGAAGAAGCTGTGGGAGTTACAATGTTAGAGGACCTCAGTGGCTGGTCAACAAAGTGGTAAATGAAAATCACTATAAGTAAATATGAAGTGATACACATGGGGGAAAAGGTGGTCACCTATAAAACCATGGAAAATGTCAGCTCAATACTCACTAGCTGTCAGAAGCAAATGAAACAGTAGTAATGAGAGCGAAACATAAAACAATAATGTCACTTTTGACAGAGACAGCCTTCTAGTTTCTGTGGCCTAAACCAGCAAGACAAGTGAAATTGAACCCCATATGATAGTTTCCCATATGTTTTATTTCATTTAAGTAACATAGTCTTCAGAACCCACCTGAAGTTCCTTGTGAGAGTGACTTTTTTTCTCTCTCCAGAAGTTAATTTGTGCCTTTTTTTCCCATTCCCATTCCATCTTCTCAATGAGGCAGCAAGCACTCTACAATTTAGGTGTTAATCAATCTGTAGATAGACAGATAGATAGATTTACTTGTTTGTAATAACAAGATAGGGCCTCAGAGGAAGAAGCAAGGCCTTTCATCTCTCTCAATCTGTGGCTGAGTTCTATGAGTCTTCTCAAAGAGGATTTCACAGTGGATTATGAACTGTGTGAAGTAATAGTGTAATTATCACTTGCAGTGGAAGCCTTTGATACCAAGGAAGACTTGCTGAATTGCAGCTCAGGCAGCATCTGTGGCTGCTTTGTATTTCATTCCTGCAATTGAAATGTGCACAGTTACCAACTGGGTCTGCTTTCACACCCTTACGAGGCATTATGTTCTTGCCAGAGCTTCTAGAAGCAATGCAATTCTGGATTCTGAGACCCTTTTTAAGATAACCGTATGGGCTACTGTTTGGAATCACCCATGCTGTGAATGTATATATGGACAATCACCCAAAAGATACGTTATTTAACCTGTAACTTTTTTTTTTTGAGATACATATATATTCACAACTGTCTTTCCTGCTCTTCTCTGACAAATTCAAAGCTTATGTTTGATTCTTGGGATCAGAAGATCCCCCTTCTATTTTATTACTGTCTGGACTGCATGTCAGGGCATGTTGTTACAATATGCCACTGTACGTGCTGCTGGGATAAGACTCAGGCCAACAGTATATCTGTGTGCAAATGTATATAAAAGACATTTCAAAGAAGAACAGTAGCAAGTAAGTTGCAGGTAATCTTTTGGGGTGGTGTTCTCCCTGCATCTCCTACAACAACATTATACCAACTCTTGCATCTGTAAGTCTGGTGCGTAGCTCTTGTTTATACATATAGAAGATGATACAGGGTGTAAATAGAGACTTAGAATCCTGAAAACATTATCACAGATCTTGGTGCAAATTATCTCCTTTGAGAAAAAATCCTCACAGTGCCCACTATTGAGGTGAGTAGAGTGACAAACTGTAATAACCCACAGTCCTTTGAGGGGACTAAATCTGCTCCTGTGGTCCCAGGATTAGGCTATAAAACATAGCATTGCTTCATCTTTTTGAATGGATGCAGCATAGACTGGATAATGTGTTTCCTGTTACCTAGTAGTATAGTATAGGGAGCCAGGATGATGGTATCTGCGTTGTCGTTTTCAGCAATTACATGTATAAGGAGCCTTTCTGAGAATGTGCAGTGGTAAGTACTGCAGGCTGATCTTTATACCTAAACACTCATGCTCCGCTTGGATGAGGTACTTAAGCATCTAAGGATCCCAGTGTCTTCGCTAAGACTGCATACTTACTCTTAGACATTTGCGTTTTGTGGAATGAAGGTCTTGTTTCTCAAAGTTGTAGTTAGTAAGTAGCTCACAAGATTTCTTTTTTTTTGCTAAATAGTTTTTTTTAAGCTATTAGGGAGTGTGTCAGCTTTAAAATTTTCCACTCTAAAATCCTAATTTTTCCTCCGTTAAAACCAAGCTCCATCCAGAACATTCTGTTTTAGTAGTTCATATACCAATGTAAAATTTGAATAAAAAGCCTGATTATTTTCCCATAAGAAAAATAATAGCTTTTTAAGACTCTGTTTTTTCACAGGGTCAGAACAATGAAAATGAAGTTAAAGATTTCAAAATTATTCTGAGGTTTTTAATGAATTGTCAGCAATTCATTGTATTTTCAGTGTATTTACTTCAACAAATGATTTAAGAAATTTAACAAATCATTTAAAATTATGTATGAAACTTTTTCCTTTGTAGTGGTAATTTTCCAAGACGACCATATATAGAAGGAAAGTCATGCAGTAATTGTGCAAAAGGGGACACCTGTGAAAATAAGCTGTGTAGTAAGTAAAAGCAAATGTAAAATGCAATATGTAAAAGGAAAAAATACAACCACCTACTTGATAAAGAATGTCGCAAACTGTGTTTTGCTCCTTGATGGTGCTCTCAGGTCCAATTCACAAGTAATTTAAAACTATTCTTAAGGCCATTGACATTCAGGAAACAAATAGATAGTTTGTATTTTACTGAATCTGGGCCTCAGTGATCATTATGAAGTCTCCGTTTCATTATAGACAGGTATAATTCATGGTTGTAGTTAAATGTGTTACTGTTTCTATTGCAGTCTGATATTCTGCTTCATTAATCTTACCAAAGAAATCAGCATCTAGCTACGTACTTTTCAAAGTAGCATTTATCAGCAACTCTTCAGTAGTCCCGAGGCCTTCAGAGACTGCAAAGCTACTAATCAGTTGTATTTAGACTAAAATATTGAAATTGCAGTTACTGAGTCTGTTGTGACTGTTTTGTGCAGACACAGCAAAATTACATTCGAGTATACCTGATGCTTATATGCTCTGTAAGCAGTCACAGTAACTGCGGGAAAATCATTCTGGGTCTGTAATTCTTGTTAGAGACATCAAAGAAATTATTCTCAGAGGCACATTGTCTTTCTCACCTGGTTATGTCTGTGGGAAAAGGGACTGCATACTGATTTAATTCTCTAGCTATGAAGTATTTTCCCCATGGTGAATAGGATTCATTCCTTAAACTGGGTAATTCTTTTAACTCTATTCTTGTCAAGAAAATTAATTAGTGTCATGAATTGCTAAATATGCATCATGTTGTGATGGAGTGAAACATCAAGAGACAGTAGGTGGTCTTTCAAGAAAGCTTTAGACCTCACAACTTCCACCTACTGGGAAGTCCCAGGCTAGAAGTTTCTTGTGGCTAAAGTTAGGACATATGTTTTTAAGTTTCATTTAATAAATGGGGAGTAAGGCTTGTGGTTTCTGTTAACAGTTAGTTATTATCTTTACTCAATATATATGTTAGAATAGCTTTAAAAACATTCAGCAGTCCTGTAAGTCTTAATTTTTAAGTAGCAGGCACCTCTGAAAAACAGACACGAGAAATACCAGGTTATACTTGATCCCAGGATTAGGCCCCACTTAGGAAACAGTCTGTCTCCCCTTCTCATCCATAAAATTCTATTTAATAGTATTTACTAGTTCATGTGTATATTCTGAATATTAAACAGTATTTATTGTTTTGAGAAAGACAAAGGAGAGAGGGTTCAAACTGAAAATAAAAGGGCTGTATAATATGTCTCTCTCGCCCATCCATGTCATTGTTATAAACAATAATAGCTTTATGGAGACATTAGTATTACGGAGTATTGTTTTTAGTTTTTATCAAAAAATTTTAGCTTTTGTTTTATTTGTAAGGTTTATCAATGGGAATTCTCAGAGTTTTTCAAATTCTATTGACTGTAAATCGGATGAGTTTGTTTTAGCTACCTAGTGAAGATTTAAGGAGAGGGAAGTCATGGCTGGCTGGTAAAACTGTTTATTTTTTCCCTTTTCCCAGGAAATCCAGAACGTGATAAAATTATCTGTACGTATTACAATTTTACACTGCTACTTACATTCCTCAGTTACTTTAAATATGTGTTCTCCCAATAAATCTTGTATTTATATGCTTATTTATAGATTATCCAAGATGGCACCCCCCTTGGGAGTTCAGAATTGTATGCAATGAGGCTTGTATCACACTTGTAATTTTGAGACCATTGCTGACGTTTCTTGCTTTTGTAGCTGTTTG